GGATTGCCTGAGCCCGCGGGTTCGAGACCCGCCTGGACAACTTGGCAAGACCTCATCTCCTACAATAAATCAAAAATTAGCCGGGCGTGGTAGCGCGCGCCTATAGTTCCAGCTACTCGGAAGGCTGAGGCGGAAGCATCGCCGGAGCCCAGCAGTTCGAGGCTGTGGTGGCCGGGAGCCGCCACTGCACTCCAGTCTGGGCGACGGAGTGAGACTCCAACTCAAAAATAAAAATAAAAAAATAATAAATAATAAATAAAAATAACCTTTTCTTTTTAACTATTTGGTTACTCTGGAATAGTTTGTTCAGGAAAGTCAAAATAAAATGCTTGATTACTTCTGTTTATTTACCAGTGTTCAGAATGAGTTAGTACCTTAGCATCCTTTAAAATTGACCTGTGAGTTTTTATTTTCAAGTATCATTATGAAGACATGGATTTTAACATATCTTATTTATTTTAACCCATTGCAATCATTATGCTCAAATTGTCTCCGTCTTTGGCCATGCAAGCTTCCTTAAGTTGATTCCTGTTTGGTTTGATATAATGCCATTATTTTTGATAGTTTTCTTGCTATAAAATAAGATATTCCAGGCTCATCTGGAACTCTTTCTGCCTTAGACATTGAATCAGACTTTTCTCTAATGACTCCTAGTTTCTTTTAGGGGGAAATCGTATTTAGAGGCTTCGATCCAGGTGCCAGAGTTTATTTGCTACAGGCTAGTTATTATTTCTTGGACTTCACAGTGAACAGCGTTAGAGAATTCCCCTTCCCTTTCTTTTCAGAGAGGAGGAGAAAATACATTTGGAGCATACTGATGTTTCCAATTCAGAGTTAAGATTATAGATTTTATTTAATTTGTTTGATATTTTAAAAAGTTGTATCTCTCACTGAAAATCTGTGTCCCTAATGACATTAAGATAATTATAGATTTGCTTTACCCAGGTGTGTGTGTGTGTGCATGAGAGAGAGAGAGAGAGAGAGAGAGAGAGAGAGAGAGAGAGAAGAGGAGAGGGAAGGGGAAAGGGAGGGAGGGGAGGGGAGGAAAGGAAGAGGAAGAGGGAGGGAAAGAGAGAGAGGGGAAGGGAAAGAAAAAGAGAAAGAGAGAGAGATTGAGAGAATGTATACATAATGAAATCAGGAAGAAGACAGGCAGGAGCCATATCATGTAGGATATTAAAAGCTGTGGTAAGGAGTTTTTGTGTTTTTTCTCAGTGCATTGGAAACCACTGAAGAGTTTTAAGCATAGTAGTGATAGGATTTGATTAACATTTTAAGGAGAACATTCTGTTATATAGAGGGAGGCAAGATTGAAACTGAGAGAACAGTTAGTCTCTGGCTAGAAGTGGTAGCGTGTATCAGGATGGTAGCAGTATAAATGGAAAGAAGTACACAGATCGAGTGCCCGTTTAGGAGTAGAGTTGACAAGATTGGCTGATGGAGAGGGAACAGGGAGTGAGAAAAAGAAAATAACCCTCAGGTGGCAAAAATATATTATTTAACACAAGAGGAAACCAGTATTGAGATCTAGTTTGTAAAGGTGTTTTACAGCTGCTTCCCAAAGTGGCTAGAGTTTTTTTATGCCAAGCAGTAGTAGCTGTTTCTTATGTTATGAGGCCATATCTGATCTAACAAATGAAACTGGCATATAAAGTGTGCTGATGAGAGCTTTCTTTTAAATTAAGGAAATTAGAAACTTAAGCTTATCATGTCCTTTTGTGTATTTATTTACTATGGTGTAATAGGCAATTATTTTTCTATGATTGAAGTTAATTTTATATCAAAATACTAAGTTACAATCTAGTGGAAGTGATATAAAAATCAGCCATATAGACAGTTTTTCTTGGAACTTAGTCAAATGCATCAATTTATTGAGTATCTATTATGTTCTCATTACTGTGCTAGGAACTGAAAAGAATATAGAAATCTAGGATATAATTTCTACCCTTCATTAACTTAGAATTTGATTCAGTAAAGAAGTTTTATAATATCTAATTAGAAACATTGTTATTTCATCTATCAAAAGATACTATTTCACTTTACATTTCTAGGCTGCTATTCTACCATGTCTGAGTCATGAATATATTACCATATATCTGTTTCTTATACTGTTATATTATTTTTAAAATAATGGTCAATAAATTGTTTACTTTGTTTAATAAACAGATTATAACTATGTGTATATCTTACAGTTCTTTTGTGTCCCAGTCTCTAATATACATTACTTTACATATATTTACTCCTCATGATATACTTTTTGGTTGATTTGTATGTGATATTTTTACCTCATCATTTCTTTTGTTGCTTTGCTCTTTGATTGTAGTAGTTCATATAGATTTTGAGGATTTGTTTTATCATAGGTCAGTTGGGATATAACTAAAAAAGAGTCAAATCTATAGAGCAAATATTAATACTGTGGTCTAGAATAGGTGTTCAAGACCATACAAAAATAGGGAAGAGAAGGTTGTTACCACTTGCCAGTGACTTTGTTTAGTTCTCATTCTTTTTTGTTCTTTTTTTTGTGATCACCCTTATCTTCTTGAACACATATTCTCTCTTGGATCTTTTCCCATGTTTCTTACTAGTTTTACTTTAGCTTTTCCATGTATCAGAAAACCCATTTCCATGAATTATCCCTTGTTCTAGCCGTATAAATTTACTGGCAGTTCTCCACATGTATGGATATATCATATGCTTTTATGCCTGCTTGTTACCCCTGCTTTTTCTCTCTTACCTAGTTGTTAATCTTGTGCATCTTATAAGACAGCACTATTAAAAATATGGTCAGCAGACTAGTGCTAGTCCATGAACTGTTATATGTTAACAGTCCATGACAAGATGAGTATAGTAATTGAGAGTAAGTGTTCGGGACTTTTTTTTCTTTCTTTTTTTTAAAGAGACAGAATCACTCTGTAAGCAATCCTCCCAACTTGGCTTTCCAAAGTGATTCTAGGCATGAGCCACTGTGCCTGACCTCTGTTTTGTCTTTAGAACCTCATAGTGAAAATCTGGTTCAGTTCTGTATTAAACATTTTTATAGCAATTTTTATTGTATTATAAAACATCAATTCATGACAATTAGAAGTTTATAAGAAATGTGGTTCTTATCTATTGCAATACTATGAGAAAGGGATTGACAGTAGTGGGAAACTGCCAGAGAAGGGGGTGGCACACTTCATCGACAAAGGTACCTGCATAATGAACATTTGTATACCTAAACCTGAATTATACCCCACATATTTAAAATACAATAAAAAAAAAGAAATGTGATTCTTCACTGCAGATGGTTTGAGAAGCATTAGTCAAATGTGATATTTTCTGAAATCCTCCTTGGTCCTTTGTTCCAGACAGAGTATTTGATATATCTCATATATATTTATATCTCTCTCTCTCTTATATGTATTATATATATATATATATAATATGTGTGTGTGTGTATATATATACACACACATATCTTACAGCCCTCATCATAGTGATATGTTTTGCACTAACCATGATTTATTCATTTTAATTCTGTTTCTGGCATAGTGCCCAGCATAGAGTTGATACCATTAAGTGTTCACTGAGTAAATGAATGAAGGAATGAATAGATCTAACAGGGAAGAGAGGACCCGAGCACTGTACAGAAAGTACTGAATAATGGCAATAAAAATAAAGTGCCATTGAGTTTATTACTACTGGGAGCTGGGCCTTGGAACAAGGAATGAGGAAAAGGGAAGGACTGCCACTTAACACTGTTATGGAAGCCGTGACACATGGTCTGAGCTCTGAAGTGGGTATTAGGAATATATTAATAGTGAGTATACAGCTCACTTATATTTTTAATGCTATTTAAAGTTTTTAAAAATATCTCTTGCCTTATGCTTGTTTTGCAGACAATGTATTTCAAAGGCATTGAAGCAGGGAAAGTTCCCTATTTTCCTCATGCAGATACTATCATCTATTCCATCTCTACAGCAATTTGCTTCCAGGCAGTAAGTATAGCTTTTTGAAATGAGAAATAGAATGATTTGTTTCTAATGTACATTAATCTAATGGGGAAAAATAAAATCTGGAACATTTGTATGTCCCAGAACATTTCTAGAGTATTCCATTTTAAGCTTGTTTTTTGTTTTTCAGCAAGATAGCTTGCATGTTTCAAATCATTAGACTTGTTAACTTAATAGACCAGGTTCTGTTTTATGAGCACAACAATTTTTAGGTTTAAGAGTGTAATTTATAAGTAAATTATTATTTCATTACCTTGTGTAGAATACCCCAACTTAATTATAATTTATTGAGAAAAAAGATCCATAGACATAAATATGAGTAATTCCATTTTTCTAATATTACACAGAAAATGAGGATGGGGGAAGAACTACTTTAATTGAATCATTGTTTAATCTATTTAAATTCTTTATTATTATTGTTGATGTTAATGGTTTTAGGGCTGTTGCAAAATTTTGGAAACGACTTTTATTTGCTCTTTCTCATGGGAATGCTGCCAGGTTGATAAACTCATTAAAACTAGTGAAGTGTCAGCTATGTGATGGGTACTCAATAATGCTTCATGATAGTAATGACTTTTCACTTAATTATTATTATAAATGCTACATTTCTATTTGAAGACACATTTCCAAAGATCCTTAATAGTTAGATAAACACAAATGCATGTCTTTATTATGAGTGTCATCACTTTTGTTTTAAAATACAATGAACAATACAGATAGAGGTAAAACTACTTTATTGCCTAAGGCTTCTGCTCACATTTCTGTTTATTAAAAGAAGTCTCAAATTGTATAATCTTAGGCTGTCATGGAAGTTCAGACCTTGCGACCATCTTACTGGAAGTTCCTTTTAAGGCTCACCAAGGGCAAGTAAGTGACTAAGATGTTTTAAATGTTCATACCAAAAAAGTAGTTTCCATAAAAATATTGTGAATGTCTTTTTAAAGGAATGTTCTTTCAGTGGTAAAGTAGGTATTTACTTATAAATCAAATATGTCCAACTTAATAAAAATAACATGAGGCATTCTTTGAGTGAACATGATTCTGACTATTCTTTTCCCTACACCATTTTAGATATTTTAAGTGTTCTAGATTAATAACATGTTGATTTGCTAACTGCTAGTTAGTTGTTACATAAATACTTAAATCTAACTTTTAAAATAATTAACTTGTTCTTTTTGAATAAAAGTATTAAACAGATTTATTAAAGATCATCTCCACATAATTAACTGATACCCATTTTGAAAATAATCATATTCTGTTGCTCTTGTTGTGAGTGTACTTTCCTCTCATGGTTTTTCATTTTATTATTATTATTATTATTATTAGGCTTGATTTTAATCTAATTCTCTGGGAGGCAGCAGTTTGACCTAATAGAAAGACTTTGAAGTCAGGCAGACCTAAGTTTGAATCCAGCTCTGGTATCTTCAGCTGACTACTGTGAGAAAATTATTTAACTTTGTGAGGCCAAGTTTATTTCTCTCTACAAGGAAACAATAATATATACATTGTATAGTTGTCAGAAAATTAAGATATTTACAGTAGCCCTTGGTACTTAGTAGGCACTCAGTAAATTGTTGTTAATATTACTATCAATAATAATAATAATAATAGCAAATGCTTGTATAGTGTTTACTATATCCAATATATGATTTTAAGATGCACACAACATACATATATACATACATGTATGAATGTATATATGTGATCCTTGAAATAGCTCTATGAGTTCAGTTTTATTGTTATCCCTGGCTTGCATAAGAGGAAACTGAGATGTACAGAGAGTCACACAGCTAGTAAATGAAGAAGCTGGAATAGAAGAAGCCAGGCTGTCTGGCTTCAGGATTTTTCCTCTTATCAATAATGCTAATGTGCATCCTTTATAGTGTTATTATTGTTTAATCTTTTTTTATCATTTAGTTTTCTTCACATTAATGAGTTTTACCAGTTTATTTTACAAGGGAACTTACTTTGGAAAAGAACTGAAAATCACATTGACTTTTGGAATAGTGATACTGGCCAGTGATTCAAGACTAATTTCATTTAGCTGTCTTCTAAATGCTCATGAATAGTCAGAGACACAAAGGCCCATCCTACACATTAACCAAAAGTGTATCTTTTTAAAATTTCATGTATCTTAGGCTAGGTAATGGATAATAATAAGGTATGTTTTTTTGCTCTGTTGTGTCTGTTAGCAATTTCAAAATCTACATGTTAGCTTATTTATTGTTTGTTTCATTTTCTATGAATTTATTCATCATAAAAATAATAATGAAGGTAATTTTTAATTTGATACAGTCTAGTGGAAAGAACTCTAGAAGAGTTTGAAATAATAATTATAATATCTGGGCTTTAAGGTCTGGGAATTATCTTTTTAAATAAAATATGAGACAGTGTACTTTAAAGAATATCCATGTGACTTTCTTTTTTTTTTTTTGACAGCAGGATGTATTGAGAGAATAGAAAAGCTCCCACAGTGGGAGGGGACACAAGGGGGTTGCCTCCATGTGACTTTTTAATCTACCATTGAATTTAGTTTTTTTGCCATGTCAGCCTTTTCTGTTTTCCCATCCCATAAAAAATAAGTCAAATAAGGTGAATTATTATATTTCATAAACTTTATTAAGTATTGTCCGCTGTACTTGTTTTACAGATTTGCTGTCATGAACCGAAAAGTCCTTGATGTTTTTGGGACTGGTGCATCTAAACACTTTCAGGATTTTATTCCCAAGTTGGATCCAAGATACACAATTGTAGCACCAGAGTTACCCACAGAGTTTTGTTGAAGATGACTGTAATTTATTAATGTGGCTAAATGTTTCATCATTTATCCTGAAGAGTTAATTATGTTGAACACAATGAAGAGGGCCCGAGCTCGAACTTCAGTGTTATTTCAATGAGAGATATTCTTTTTTTTGTTGTTTTTCTTACCAATCAGAAACACAGAGGCTTTTTAGGAAGATGTTGCTTAATAATTAAGCTTCCTTCATAGCCAGAATCAGATTCTGGATCACTGTAGTGATTGACATTATGATATATTATCGGTTAAATTATGTCCACAGGCAATATTAAATAATCTGTGTGGAAATGTAATAACAAATAGGAGTACACTTAAAATTACTTTAAAAGATGTCTTTAGTTCATTCCAATATAATTCTTGGTTAAAACTAGGATTATATCTACATTTTAGGATTTACAAAGGATCACGGGTACATGGATTTGGTCTGTACTTTTTTTTAACTTTTGAATTGGTATCTGTAGTAGTAGAATGCTGTTGATTTACAGTAACTCTTCACAAACAATGCTGCTTTAGTATAGAGCAATTTAATTAGAGAAAGTGGCCATTTTTACTTCAGGGATGCAAAGATGAGTCTCATGCCATTTGGATAAATGTTGTAGTATCCATGCTCTTATTTTCAACTGGTAACATCACCTCTCTCCATCATAAGTTGGGCTGTTTGGCAGCCTGGTGGACCTAATGGCAGGTTAAGAGCAAATGGAAATGGACACATCTGATAGAATTGAAATGTATGTTTTAATCTTTTACAGAAGCATTACACTTGAATATTTAAAAACATATATTTAAAAACAAAACTTTTAATCCTTCTCTAGGTTTATTATGTTTGTTTTCATTTATATGGATGTTATTCTTCATAACTCGGTTTATATGCCATTGTTGCTTTAGAAGGGATCAAAGTCCAGTGAACAAAGTCATTTCAGCAAGTTTGGCAGCTTGTGCCCTCTTAGCTGTTTAATAGATGTAATGGACGTTTTACAACTGAAATAATATGAAAATCCAGTGGTTGTTTAAAAAGTCTATTTCATCACTAATTTGATTCAGGTTTTCCAACCTTCTTTTAAAAAATTGTCATCATTTTTACTGTTAGAATAAAGAAGTGATAAAATACAGTCACTGCTGATTATGAAAGTAGTTCAGGACAGCTGTATTGAAATATGATCACTAGAGTTTTTCAGGGAAATGTTAACTTTTCTAAGTTAATAAAAGGCTAAAGTGGTTGTGATGTCTACAGTTAATGTAACATATAGGGATAGTGATATTTTTAAAATATAATTTTGTTGCTGAAAATTTTTTAGGCTGTTGTAAATTATGCAGTAGAACTTCCATTGCAAAAGGAATTATAACCCAGACTTTAAAAATACTTAATCCCTCATATTCGGTTTCATCAGGCCTTGTATACTTCTGTTTATATGTAATCCTATCCTTGGTTGTTATGACAAAGTGAAACCCAACAAAAAGACAGACTCTTTGGTACCATAGAAACAGAGAGAGCCACTTTAATTTGATCAAAATTTTGCATTGTGATTAACTTTTTCAAATTGACCTGTTCATTTGGCAATGCTGTTAAAGGATCATTTTGGTTTCAGACTTCAAAAGTGATTAATAAATTTAATTTTAACTTCGTATCCACTGGAATCAAAATGATGATTGGTACTGTGTTTACTTTTTAAAAATGAAGTCAAATTAAAGCACTGAGAAAGCACTGCTACCTGCACCTCATTTTCTCTATTCAGAACTTGTTTATTTATTTTCCTGTCAGATTAAAAGAAGGTTAAATTCATAAATTATTTTTATTGACATTAAAAGACTGATATTGAAAGGCAAACTATGAAATTTGCTGACATCATTTTGTGAAATTTTACTGATCAAAATGTGCATTTCTGCAATTTAGTTTTTTTATAAATTTCAGTTATTTCAAAAATTTTATATAAAATGTAAAATGAAATAGCTGTCATGAAGCAGAATACAATAATGAATGTATAGCTTGAATGAATAGTAACTAATTTGCAGTGGCAAATGGTGAAGTCCAGTTTGATTAAATTGAGACAGACTGTGAAGAGTAGTTGCTTGAGCAAACACAGACACTTTGTTGTTTTCCTGAAGACAATCAAAATGATTATCTTTCTACCTCTAATCAGGTATTGATTGACGATTTTTTGGTATTGTAAATAAAGTTAAATAGATCTCTCCATTCCAAAACATGTTTTTTAGTTCATTTATACTCTGACGAAATGGTAAGTTTTTCACCAGAACTGATTACAGTAAACAATAATATGCCCCCTTAGTCTCTCTGACATCTTTATGTAGATTGAGATTAAAAAACAGTTGCATTCAGAGCAGTAGCATTATGGTCATTTCATTGCTATTTTCGGTATTAATAAGATTCTAACATTAGTACCAACTGAGTAAATATTGAGATTGGAAGATAACAAATTGTCTCAAATCTGTTAGATTTTTCCCAGCTTTTCAGCTGACAGTTTCAGTGTCCATTTTATTACTTATCTCTGAAATGACATCTTTGGTTCAGTTTTCTTTTTTCATAAATTCTTTGTCTGCTTCTGTAATTTTTCTTGACGTGTAAACAGTTGAGACTCAGTTGATATCTAGTTGATTGTTTTTGCCTTCATTTGTTATTATTTAGTCAAATGTTTAATTCAGAATTTTATCTTGTTTTTTGGTCTCTGATATTTTAATTTACTTTTAACTAGAATGAGCATATCTTTTTGGATGGAACAAGAAAATACTGTGTGTGCAATTGTCACAGAGTATTTTCTTGTTGTGCTTGACTATTCATTTTCTTGTAGGTTGTGTCTAGGCTCACATTTGATTTAATAGTTAATGCTGACATAATGGTTTCTGCTTGTATTTTATCAAATCCCTAAGTTTCTAAGTTCCCTACTAATGCATAGGAATGAAAATCAACGTCCTTTACTCTCAAGGAGCTTTGTCCCCTTGCCTGTGTCACAACCTCTCCCTGGCATGGTCAGGAAGCCTCTTGGCAGCCTAAGGGGACGTGCCCACTGGAGCAGTGACCCAGTGGTCTTGTTGTTTTTGGAACAGAGAAGCTATCAGCCCAGAAATTCCTTGAATTCTCTCTGTGATTTATTTTTATGTGTATAAGTAGCAAGTTGTTTGACACAGCAACAAGGTCATTCATTGCGCCAGAAGGCAGAAGTGTACATTCCTTGCTGAGATATCTGATCAACTTTCTGTCCCCTGATGCCCTGACTTGTTGCTGTTGATCCCCTTGGTATTCATTTTCACTGAAAATTGATTCATTTCACTTAGCTGGAAAAGAGTAACCCCCAAAAAACAAAAAACCATAAGAAAAGGAATGAAAGGTGAATATTTTCTTAGGGATGGACTTTGAGTGTGATGAGTATTAAGGTTATCTTAATTATGGAGGTATAGGAGACTGTTTTTATAGTTACTTCAACCCTGTGCCTTCTTTTTTATAGTCCATTTTGTTGGTGCTAAAGCCATTGCTGGTACTAACTATGAGGAGGGACCCAAAAAAACCCGGAATGATCTTTTGGAGGGTGGGCTCCCTTGTAGTACAGACTTCCCTTGCTAGGTAAGTGTTCTAGCAAGGGAAGCTATTGGCTTCAGTGAACCTGCTAGTGTTGTTGTGAGAGACTGTATTCAGCTTTAGTGAATTTTTGGGGAGATTCTTTCAATGGGTTAGTCTATTTCATTATGGGTGATTTACAAGTGCACCTGTCTACACCATGCTGGGTGTTCAGCAGTTTTTGACCAAAAACAGCATGGCCCCTATGTCTCACCCTCCCTATTCACCCCATCTCACCCTAGGTGACTTTTTTTTTGTTTCCCTGTATGAAAAATGACCTCAAAGGGAAATGTTTTGCCTGTGAAAGAGTTGTAACAAAAAACAGCAGAAGCACTGAATGGCATTAAAATTAACAAGTTGAAAAACTGTTTTGAGCAGTAGAAAGAGCATTTCTGTAGGCATATTGCATCAGTTGGAGAGTACTTTGAAGATGACTGAAGTTTAAACATATCAGAGTAAATACACAATTTTTTGTAAATAAATTCTGAGGTTTTTTTTATCCCTTCCTTGTATACTCTCTTCTTGAGTTAGCAAGAAAAAGAGTGTCAGGGACTGAGGTGATTTGGATTCTAGGGCTGCATGGTACTGGGTTCCTATTTCAAGTTGTGGCCTCAGGTGACCTTGTAATAGTCCTGTAGTTATGAACAGGATATCTACAGAGAAATGAGACTGACACTGGCATATGACTGTTGGGAGCATTAGGGGAGGGAAGAACTTGGCCATGATGTAGCATGTGTCCTAGGACTACAGCAGGATAATGATTGGCCTTAAGCTTACAGCTGTGGTGAAAAGCATGGGTGCTATTTTACATAAAGGAAAAAGTGAGTGACTTTTAGTTGGAAGAAAGAATTTTCATCTGGTCTTTTGAAAATCTTTCTCTTGCTCTTTGATGTGTGGTATCTCTCTGGAAATCATTCTTTTTTCTTTGGTGTGGAATCTCTCTCTCTCTCTCTCTCTCTCTCCCCCCCCCCCATTTCCTCCCCACGTCTCTCTCTCTCTCTCTCTCTCTCTCTCTCTTTGTCTCTCTCTCAGAAATCATTCTATTTCTCTTTGGTGTGGGGGTTCTCTCTCTCTCTCTGTGTGTGTTAATCATTTTCTTGCTCTTTGATGGTATGCTGTCTCTCTCTTTCTCTCTCTCCCCCCTTCCTCTTCCATCTCCTTCTTCTCTCTCTCTTTTTCTCCCCATCTCTTCTCTTTCTCCTCCCATTTCTTCTCTCTCTCTCTCACGCTACCCACCATCTCCTCTCTGTCTCTCTCCCTATCTCCCCTCCATCCATCCTAGCCTTAGAATCTTCATGTGAACCTCTTGCCTTTCCCTATTCTTTGTCCCTTTGTCTTTTGCTTTTCTTCCCCTTGCTGGTGTTACCTTATGCAAACTGTGCTCTGTGGACTCTGAGAGCTTTGATGCTAGCAGGTCAAGTGAGAGGCTTCGGAAGGATCATAACAATGCAGTAAGCATTTCCAGGGTCAATGGTTTTTGATATAGCTCTGCATTTCTTAGGCAGGATGGTATAGAAGATAATTGCACAGATGTGTAAAGAAGTGTTTCTCAGTATGTGATGCCTTTATGACCAGAACAGTCAATCTCTTCTCTTATTATTATACAACCCCATAACATCACTTGACTCTCGAATGTGTTATAACTATACAGAGGGACAAGAACTAATTTCCCATTTTCTTGTGCTTTCCTCCAAATGTATCCTAAGTGAAATAATATATTAGGTTTTATCTTTTGTCCCTACAGGCCTGAAATCCTAGTAATAAACACAGACACATATACTATCTGGTCAGCAACAGGGGCATCAGACCCAAATACAATTTGTACTTCTTTCTGCGGCTTGCAAACCACTATGGCTTGCCTGTTCAATTTTGTGCCACCTGCCCCCTGCACATACACTAAAACATTCTCATCTTGTTAGACTGTGGGTAATAGTATGTTCTCTGGTCTTTGGCACAGAGGCATACCTCATGCCTCTACCTGTCTTGCTGAGACGCAACATCCCTCTGTGGCTGAGAGGTCCAGACTTTTACCAAGTAGGCCTATTTTGACTGAAATCACCCTACAGTACTACTTTCTTCCATTCCTTAATTTGGACCAGCTAACTTCTGAGATCTAGTTCCTCAATATCTATTAAACTTTTTTTTGGTCATTAATTAACCTCTTACATGAATTTTCTTTTCAGATTATTTTTGGTCACCTAAGACCGCCTTGAGGCTATAGAGAAGGATTAGTACTGAAGATTTAAAAAGCATGAAGTGCATCCTATGGTTGGTCATTAAGGGATGGGATGTCACATCTCAAGCTATATTTTTCCTCCTGTTACTTTCTTTACCTCACTTTCCTACCATATCTTTGCCATATATTTCTTCAGCTTGTGTTCTCAGAGAAAAAAGAGATATTTCTTTTCCTGTTTATTTCAGGGAAAATTAAAGTTAGATAATATCTACAAAGCTTCAGGAAGAAATTCAGTTGCTTCTAAATCTTACTCTGCAGTTTTTGAGAGCCTGTCATTGCTCAGGGAGAGCACTAAGTCTCTCATAAGATCACAGAAGACAGAATAAATGAATCTGGGAAACCAGTCTATACATTTTTTTTTTATTAGTACTCTTCCTATAACTTATAATAAATTTCACAATAGGATTACAGCCATTGTTCATTGCTTATCAAATGGCTATTTAATCCTTCTTCCTTGCTGATAGAACACTGATATTTAAGACAGCTGTATGCACTGCCCCAGGAATGAATCATACTTGTCCTAGGTCTTTCATGTCACTCCTTCCTTCAGTTCTAGATATTTTTCCAATCAGTCTTTTCTTTGAGGGTGGTCATGTGACCCAGTTTTGGCCAATAAGCTATAGTGGAAAATCTGAGAAACTCTTGGGAAAAATCTTTCCTCTATGTTTAAAGGAAAGTTCTTTACAGCTCTGTTCTTTTTTTCTTGTTCAGGACACTAGTATTAGTTAATGGGGTCTAGATCTATGCCAGTAATCTTATAAACATGAAGTAGGTACCAAGATGTTGTGACAGAAAAATAGAAACTATCCCCCAGATGACATTCTTGAGCCACTAAATTGATGCTGATAATCACAGAACCTTGAGCATTTTGAGAAAACAAACCTCTGTTTCTTAAGGCTGTAGAGAGAGCCAATAGGATGAATGGATGGATGGATGGATAGATAGATAGACAGACAGACAGAAAAGAGAAGAATTTTTAGGGGAATTGACTCACATGATCATGGAGAAGTCCCACCACAGCCCATCTACAAGTTAGAGACCCTAGGATGCTGATAGTGTGATTCATTATAAGTCCAAAAGCCTCAAAACTAGGGAAACAAATAGTATAATTCTCGGTCCAAGACTGAAGACTGAGACCCCCAGGGTGGGATAAGGGAGTGTTGGTTTGAGTCCTGGAGTCCAAGACTGGAAAGTCTGGAGTCCTGATGTCCAAGGGCAGGAGGAGAAGAATGTGTCCCTGCTGCAAGAGACCAATTCTTATTTTTTCTGTCTTTATCCTACCTAGACCTCTAGTTCATTGGCTTGTGACCGCCCATATTGAGGCCAGCAGATCTTCCTCATTTAATCCACTCAAACTCATGCACCAGTCTCCTCGGGAAACACTTTCACAGATGC